TCTCCAATATGCCAAATAACAAACGCAAAAACCAAGGTAATAAAAACAAGGAAGTCACCATGACGCCCTCAAATGAAAAAGACACCCCAATTCAAGATTATGAGGATGATGATATAGAAGAAATGCAAGAAGCAGATCTCAAAAAATTGGTAAGAACATTAAGAAGTTCTCAAAAACAAATTCTTGAACTACAGAAATCCTTAATGGACAAGATAGAAAATCTCTCTCGTGAAAATGAAATATTAAGGAGGAATCAAAATGAAACGAAACAACTAGTACAACAGGAAACTGGGATAGTGACTGAAGTGAAGAATTCAAGAGATCAAATGAAAAACACAATAGAGAGCCTTACAAACAGAATGGGTGAAGCAGAAGAGAGAATATCGGACTTAGAAGACAGAGAACAGGAAAGGATACAGTCAGACCAAAGAAAAGAAGAGGAAATTAGGAATCTAAAACATATTGTCGGGAATCTTCAGGATACTATTAAAAAAACCAACATTTGGGTTCTAGGAGTTCCTGAAGGCATGGAGAGGGAGAAAGGATTAGAAGGCCTTTTTAGTGAGATATTAGCAGAAAATTTCCCAGGTTTGGAGAAGGACAGAGAAATCCTAGTAGAGGAAGCTCACAGAACCCCTAATAAACATGACCAAAAGAGATCCTCACCACGACACGTTGTAATTAAACTCTCCACAGTGAAACATAAAGAAAGGATCCTAAAATGTGCAAGAGAGAAACATCAGATTACTCTCAGAGGATCTCCAATCAGACTCACAGCTGACTTCTCATCAGAAACTCTACAAGCTAGGAGGGAATGGTGAGATATAGCCCAGGTACTAAGAGAGAAAAACTGCCAGCCCAGAATATTATATCCTGCTAAGCTATCATTTGTGAATGAAGGTGAAATAAAGACTTTTCATAGCAAACAGAAATTGAAAGAATTTGTCGCCACTCGTCCAGCCCTGCAAAAGATGCTTAAAGATGTGTTACACACAGAAACACAGAAACACGGTCATCAATATGAAAGAAGGTAAAGGAAGGAAACCAAGGAAGGAAAGCTCACAGCAAAAGATCACAGGGAATTCAAAGCATATATTAGAACTTATCTTTGGCAAATGGCAGGGCAAAGTTACCACTTATCATTAGTCACATTGAACGTGAATGGCCTGAACTGTCCAGTTAAAAGACACAGGTTGGCTGATTGGGTTAAGGAACAAAACCCATCTATTGGCTGCTTACAAGAAACTCATCTTTCCAACAAAGATCCATACAGACTGAAAGTGAAAGGCTGGAAAAAGATATACCATGCCAACAGAAATGAAAAAAGAGCAGGCATAGCCATCTTAATTTCAGACAACATAAACTTTACCACAAAAACCGTTAAGAGAGACAAAGAGGGACACTACATAATGTTTAAGGGATCAATTCAACAGGAAGATATAACAATTATCAATGTATATGCACCTAACTACAGGGCACCGGTTTATCTAAAAGATTTGTTAAGGGACTTAAAGGGAGACTTAGACCCCAATACAATAGTACTGGGGGACTTCAATACTCCACTCTCAGAAATAGACAGATCAATAGGACAGAAGATCAACAAGGATACAGTAGATTTAAATGACACTATAGCCCAAATGGATCTAACAGATATCTACAGAACTTTCAATCCTACAGCTAAAGATTTTACATTCTTCTCAGCAGTACATGGAACCTTCTCTAGGATTGACCACATACTAGGCCATAAAGCAAGTCTCAGCAAATTCAAAAGAATTAGAATCATACCATGCAGCTTCTCAGACCATAAAGGAATAAAGTTGGAAATTAGCAACTCAGGAATCCCTAGAGCATATGCAAACACATGGAGATTGAACAACATGCTCCTGAATGAACAATGGGTCATAGAAGAAATCAAAAGAGAAATCAAAAACTTTCTGGAAGTAAATGAGGATAACAGCACAACATACCAAAACTTATGGGACGCAGCAAAAGCAGTGTTAAGAGGAAAGTTTATATCAATAGGTGCCTACATCAAGAAATTGGAAAGGCACCAACTAGATGAGCTTTCAATTCACCTCAAGGATCTAGAAAACCTACAGCAAACCAGACCCAAATCTAGTAGGAGAAGGAGAAATAATTAAAATCAGAGAAGAAATCAACAGGATTGAATCAAGAAAAACATTACAAAAAATCAGCCAAACGAGGAGCTGGTTTTTTGAAAAAATAAACAAAATTGACACCCCATTGGCCCAACTAACTAAAAAAAGAAGAGAAAAGACCCAAATCAATAAAATCAGAGATGAAAAAGGAAACGTAACAACAGACACCACAGAAATAAAAAGAATCATCAGAAATTACTACAAGGACTTGTATGCCAGCAAACAGGGAAACCTATCAGAAATGGATAGATTCCTGGACACATGCAACCTACCTAAATTGAACCAGGAAGGCATCGAAAACCTAAACAGACCCATAACTGAGACAGAAATTGAAACAGTAATAAAGGCCCTCCCAACAAAGAAAAGCCCAGGACCAGATGGATTCACTGCTGAATTCTACCAGACATTTAAAGAAGAACTATCTCCAATTCTTCTCAAACTATTCAGAACAATCGAGGAAGAGGGAATCCTCCCAAATTCTTTCTATGAAGCCAGCATCACCTTAATCCCTAAGCTGGAAATAGATGCAGCACTGAAAGAGAATTACAGACCAATATCCCTGATGAACATAGATGCAAAAATCCTCAATGAAATTCTCGCCAATAGAATGCAACAACACATCAGAAAGATCATCCACCCAGACCAAGTGGGATTTATCCCTGGTATGCAGGGATGGTTTAATGTGCGCAAGACAATCAATGTGATACACCACATTAACAGACTGCAGAAGAAAAACCATATGATTATCTCAATAGATGCCGAGAAAGCATTTGATAAAATACAACACCCGTTCATGATGAAAACTCTAAGCAAACTGGGTTTGGAAGGAACATTCCTCAATACAATCAAAGCAATCTATGAAAAACCCACAGCCAACATCCTATTGAATGGGGAAAAGTTGGAAGCATTTCCACTGAGATCTGGTACCAGACAGGGATGTCCACTCTCACCACTGCTATTCAATATAGTTCTGGAGGTTCTAGCCAGAGCTATTAGGCAAGAAAAAGAAATTAAAGGATACAAATTGGGAAGGAAGAACTCAAACTATCCCTCTTTGCAGATGACATGATTCTATATTTAGGGGACCCAAAGAACTCTACTAAGAGACTATTGGAACTCATAGAAGAGTTTGGAAAGTAGCAGGGTATAAAATCAATGCACAAAAATCAACAGCCTTTGTATACACAGACAATGCCATGGCTGAGGAAGAACTTCTAAGATCAATCCCATTCACAAAAGCTACAAAAACAATCAAATACCTTGGAATAAACTTAACCAAGGACGTTCAAGATCTCTACGATGAGAATTACAAAACCTTAAAGAAAGAAATAGAAGAGGATACCAAGAAATGGAAAAATCTTCCATGCTCATGGATTGGAAGAATCAATATCATCAAAATGTCCATTCTCCCAAAAGCAATTTATAAATTCAATGCAATACCAATCAAGATACCGAAGACCTTCTTCTCAGAACTGGAAAAATTGGTGCTGAAATTTATATGGAGGCACAAGAGACCTCGAATAGCTAAAGCAATCTTGTACAACAAAAACAAAGCCGGAGGCATCACAATACCAGATTTCAGGACATACTACAGGGCAGTTGTAATCAAAACAGCATGGTACTGGTACAGAAACAGATGGATAGACCAATGGAACAGAATTGAAACACCAGAAATCAATCCAAACATCTACAGCCAACTTATATTTGATCAAGGATCTAAAACCAATTCCTGGAGCAAGGACAGTCTATTCAATAAATGGTGCTGGGAAACCTGGATTTCCACGTGCAGAAGCATGAAGCAAGACCCCTACCTTACGCCTTACACAAAAATCCACTCAACATGGATTAAAGACCTAAATCTATGACCTGACACCATCAAGTTACTAGAGAACATTGGAGAAACCCTTCAAGGTATTGGCACAGGCAAAGAGTTTCTGGAAAAGACCCAGGAGGCACAGGCAGTCAAAGCCAAAATTAACTATTGGGATTGCATCAAATTGAGAAGTTTCTGTACTGCAAAAGAAACAGTCAGGAGAGTGAAGAGACAACCGACAGAATGGGAAAAAATATTTGCAAACTATGCAACAGATAAAGGATTAATAACCAGAATCTACAAAGAGATCAAGAAACTCCACAAAAACAAAACCAACAACCCACTTAAGAGATGGGCCAAGGACCTCAATAGACATTTTTCAAAAGAGGAAATCCAAATGGCCAACAGGCACATGAAAAAATGTTCAAGAACATTAGTAATAAGGGAAATGCAAATCAAAACCACAATGAGGTTCCACCTCACCCCGGTTAGAATGACTCACATTCAGAAATCTACCAACAACAGATGCTGGAAAGGATGTGGGGAAAAAGGGACACTAACCCACTGTTGGTGGGAATGCAAACTGGTCAAGCCACTATGGAAGTCAGTCTGGAGATTCCTCAGAAACCTGAAGATAACCCTACCGTTCGACCCAGCCATCCCACTCCTTGGAATTTACCCAAAGGAATTTAAATTGGCAAACAAAAAAGCGGTCTGCAGCCCTAATGTTTATTGCAGCTCAATTCACAATAGCTAAGACCTGGAACCGACCTAAATGCCCATCAACGGTAGACTGGATAAAGAAATTATGGGATATGTACTCTTTAGAATACTATACCGCAGTAAGAAACAACGAAATCCAGTCATTTGCAACAACATGGAGGAATCTGGAACACATCATGCTGAGTGAAATAAGCCAGTCCCAAAGGGACAAATACCATATGTTCTCCCTGATCGGTGACAACTGACTGAACACCAAAAAGGAAACCTCCTGAAGTGAAACGGACACTATGGGAAACGGTGACTTGATCAGCATTGCCCTGACTGTTAATGAACAACTTAATACATTATCCCTCTTAGTAGCTTTTTTGTCTGTTCTACTTAATATGACTGGTTTAATTCTGTAATTAATACACAGTTATTCTTAAGTGTTAAAAATTAACTGAAATGTGATCCCTGTTAAACATAAGAGTGGGGATAAGAGAGGGAAGAGATTTATAATTTGGGACATGCTCAAGCTGACTTGCCCCAAATGGTAGAGTTAAAAACATACCAGGGGATTCCAATTCAATCCCATCAAGGTGGCATTACCAATGCCATCTCACTATTCCAAGTGATCAATTTCATTTCACAATTGATCATAATGAAAGGACTAAGAGTCAAAGGGAGCACATAAACAAGTCTAGTACCTGCTAACACTAACCAATGGAATAAATAAAGGGGAGAGTGATCCAACATGGGAAGTGAAATACTCAGCAGACTCATAGAATGGTGGATGTCCTAAACAGCACTCTGGCCTCAGAATCAGCCCTAAAGGCATTCAGATCTGGCTGAAAATCCCATGAGAGTATTTCAGGCATGGAAAGCCAAGACACTCTGGCAAAAGATCTCTGTGAGTGAGATCCCAGTGGAAAGAACAGGTCATCAAAGAAGGAGGTACCTTTCTCTGAAGGGAGGAGAGAACCTCCACTTTGACTATGACCTTGTCTAAACAAGATAAGAATCGGAGAACTCAGAGGGCTTCCATAGCCTTGGAAACTCATGACCGGAGCATAGGGAGACTACTGATGCCATAGACAGGAGTGTCAATTGGTAAAGTCAACAACAGGAGTCACTGTGCACTTACTCCTCATGTAGGATCTCTGTCCTTAATGTGCTGTGTATTGAAATTTAATGCTATAACGAGTACTCAAACAATATATTTCACTTTGTGTTTTTATGGGGGTGCAAACTGTTGAAATCCTTACTTAATGTATACTAAACTGATCCTCTGTAAAAAAAAAAAAAAAAAAGAAATTATCAATTCCCAACTTGACTCTAACTGGGATTAAACATGACAATAGGTCTGATCTGATTTCATCATCATTTAAAAAAGATCATCTATTATTTTTCACTTTATGTTTCTGTGTGACAGCAAACTGTTGAAATCTTTACTTAATGTATACTAAGCTGATCTTCTGTATATTAAGATAATCGAAAATGAATCTTGATGTGAATGGAAGGGGAGAGGGAGTGGGAAATGGGAGGGTAGTGGGTGGGAGGGACGGTATGTGGGGGAAGCCATTGTAATCCATAAATCGTACTTTGGAAATTTATATTCATTAAATAAAAGTTAAAAAAAATACCTGATTGTGTAAATAAAGAACTGTACAACCAAACAATGAAACATATGCACTTGGCCGGTGCTGCGGCTCAATAGGTTAATCCTCAACCTAGCAGTGCCGGCACACCGGGTTCTAGTCCTGGTTGGGACGCCGGATTCTATCCCAGTTGTCCCTCTTCCAGGCCAGCTCTCTGCTGTGGCCCGGAAAGGCAGTGGAGGATGGCCCAAGTGCCATCCGTGGTGCCAGCCATGGCGGCCACTGGAGGGTGAACCAATGGCAAAAGGAAGATCTTTCTCTCTGTCTCTCTCTCTCACTATCCACTCTGCCTGTGCAAAGAAAGAAAGAAAGAAAGAAAGAAAGAAAGAAAGAAAGAAAGAAAGAAAGAAGAAAGAAAGAAGAAGAAAGAAAGAAAGAATGCACTCACAGCAAAGAATTATGGTCTCATCTCAAAAAACTGAAATTCAATAATTTTATAAAACAGTATTTAATTAAAAAAGAAAATCTATATTCTCTAATATGAACAGGTCAGAGAAAACACAAGAGAGTCTAACCTAATTTGTAGCACCAAAAAATGGAAAGGAGCTCAAAGATTGTTAGAGATGTGCTGAAAAAACAGCCACCATCATGGAAGCACTTCACTAGTGACACTTTGGACAACCTATTCACAAAAAACAGTAACTATGATGACAGATTTTTTAAAAAAGATTTACTTATTTATTTGAAAGTCAGAGTTACACAGAGGAGATGCAGAGAGAGAGAGGTCTTCCATCTGATGTTTCACTCCCCAATTGGCCACAATGACCAGAACTGCACCGATCCAAAGCCAGGAGCCAGGAGCTTGTTCCAGGTCTCCCATGTGGGTGCAGGGACCCAAGGACTTGGGCCATCTTCCACTGCTTTCTCAGGCCATAGCAGAGCGCTGGATCAGAAGAGGAGCAGCAGGGACTAGAACTGGCACCCATATGGGACGCTGGCACTTCAGGCCAGGGTGATAACCCACTGAGCTACAGTGCCAGTCCCCAATAACAGTATTTAATACATTGAATAAAATAGCTATGAAACTTTAGAAATAAGTTTAATAGGGGCCAGCGCCATGGCCTGTGGCACCAGGATCCCATATGGGTGCTGGGTTCTAGTCCTGGATGCTCCTCTTCTAGTCCAGCTCTCTGCCGTGGCCTGGGAGAGCAGTGGATGGTGGCCCAAGTGCTTGGGCCTCTGCACCCACATAGGAGACCAGGAAGAAGCACCTGGCTCCTGGCTTTGGATTGGCACAGCACCAGCCATAGTGGCCATTTGGGGAGTGAACCAATGGAAGGAAGACCTTTCTCTTTCTCTGTCACTGTCTATAACTCTACCTGTCAAATTAAAAAAAATAAGTTTAATAAAAGATAAATGTGCCTAACTAGAGAAGTATGCCAGTTAATATTTGTGGAAGAAGGGATAGAATGAGAAATTACCAGTTATGCAGTCAATCCTGCAATGATTTATTCAAGCAAGGAATATTAGTGAATGCAGTAAAGTGTTTATGGATATCACTGGAGAACAGGAAAGACACAGTCTCAAATAATTCCTTCAAAACCACTAGTTAACAGAGACCAGTTGACTTGACAATGGAGAAATCTGGAGTACAAGAACAAGGGCTCAAGCTTTCTATCACTAGTAAGGAAGGCATGAGACTCAACAGCCTCCTAACCTAATGAGATGGGGAGCAGACATCCTTGTCTCTGTAGTGCTAATGACAGCAACATAAATCTAAATCTGTTAATGAGGAAACCATGAGACAAATCAAGAATGTAGGACGCATTGCAAGACAAGAGAAATACACAATGGAGAATATCAATTCCATATAAAAATATTATTTAACCAATCTAGTTCAAATGAGATGATATATAAAAAGTATATTCATTGTACCCAGTGGAAAGAACAGGCCATCAAAGAAGGAGGTACCTTTCTCTGAAGGGAGGAGAGAACCTCCACTTTGACTATGAGCTTGTCTAAACAAGATAAGAATCAGAGAACTCAGAGGGCTTCCATAGCCTTGGAAACTCATGACTGGAGCATAGGGAGATTACTGATGCCATAGACAGGAGTGTCAATTGGTAAAGTCAACAACAGGAGTCACTGTGCACTTACTCCTCATGTAGGATCTCTATCCTTAATGTGCTGTACATTGAGATTTAATGCTATAACGAGTACTCAAACAATATATTTCACTTTGTGTTTCTATGGGGGTGCAAACTGTTGAAATCCTTACTTAATGCATACTAAACTGATCCTCTGTAAAAAAAAAAAAAAAAAAAAAAAAAGAAATTATCAATTCCCAACTTGACTCTCACTGGGATTAAACATGACAATAGGTCTGCTCTGATTTCATCATCATTTTAAAAAATCATCTATTATTTTTCACTTTATGTTTCTGTGTGGGAGCAAACTGTTGAAATCCATACTTAATGTATACTAAGCTGATCTTCTGTATATTAAGATAATCGAAAATGAATCTTGATGTGAATGGAAGGGGAGAGGGAGTGGGAAAGGGGAGGGTTGTGGGTGGGAGGGACGGTACGGGGGGAAAGCCATTGTAATCCATAAGTCGTACTTTGGAAATTTATATGCATTAAATAAAAGTTTAAAAAAAAAAAAGTATATTCATTGTACAGTTTATTGAATACAGGACTGAACATAGATGAATAAATATAAGGGCATTCATGGTATAGTATGGAAATTTAAATTTGAACCCATTATTAACAGTGTTTCAATATGACTGAATATGATATTGGTATTTGGTGGGGTATTTATATGGGAAGACATTCTTATTTTGATGGGATTAAATATCATGATGTCTGCAACTCAATTTTCAATGGCTGAAGTATGTGTAGATTTATGTTTGTGTGTGTGTGTGAATGTGAATGTTTGCATATACAGAGAATAGGTGGTAAAAATACTTTCATTGGTGAATACATAGAAATGTAAATAATATTTCCTAATAAATGTATGAGAAAAAAGATGGAAGGAAGAGTAAAAATGGAAATATACAATAAAATAACATGTTCTAGAGAATTATAAAGATAATTTAAGTGAGTTGTTATAAAATGTAATTGCAGATAGTCATTGATCAAATATGCTTTAAGTGTTCCTAAATAACATGCAAATATGAATGATTTTACTTTTCAAAATTAAACAAAGTAGTCTGCCATAACTCTCAAATGATTAATTCTGTGTGGGCTCTTCATTAGCAAATGCACAGGCTAGAGTTCTGCATCTTTAAGATAGATATCATCTAAGGCTTAATTATCTCTAGGCTTTTTGCTTCTGGATTTTTAAATGGTAATTTTTACAAAAGAAAAATATAGCAGCATTGGAAAACATGTATAAATAAGTAAGCAATGCTGTTGTATGTTTACAGTAATTCCTGATATCCATGGAAGATTGATTTTAGGCATCCTTATACTCCAAAAATCCATAAATTCTATCTCTTTTTTTTTATCTTTTATTTAATGAATATAAATGTCCAAAGTACGACTCATGGGTTACAATGGCTTTCCCCCCCATACCGTCCCTCCCACCCACAACCCTCCCCTTTCCCACTCCCTCTCCCCTTCCATTCACATCAAGATTCATTTTCGATTATCTTAATATACAGAAGACATGAATTCTATCTTTCATAAGATGGCATAGTATTTTTACATAGCTATATAAATCCTCTCATAAATTAATCATCTCTAGTTTTGTAATAATATTCAGACACACTGTTTTAAGAGAGTACTTGCAGCACTTGGTTGGTTAAATCTGAGGATGCAGAAAGTGTGAACATGGAGAGCTGACTTTAGCTCCAACCCTACAAGGCAAGCATTAGAACATAAGAGTATCAACTGTCAACTATTTTCCCAAGTGAAAATGATGCCCTACCCATTTATGAAGCATTACTCAGACAAAACAATATTCACACATGTAGTTCAGTAACTCCAGAACTGTTTGAGATTTATTCTTCAATCATTAGCCATATAAAATAATATAAATATAAAATAATATAAATATATAATAATATAAATATTTGATTTTTTTTCTTAAAAGAGAGACAAAGAGACACAAAGGAAGACAGAAAGGCATAGAGATAGAGCTTCCATTCCCTGGCTCACTCACTGAAAGACCACATCAGCATGGATCAGAGCCAAGAATTCAATCCAGTTCTCCTGTTTCCCAGGATCCAAATTAGCAGGAAACTGGATCAGAGCAAGAGCCATAAATCAAATCCAGGTACACTGATATGGAATGTGGGTGTCTTAACTGCTAGACTAAATGCCTTCCCCTCTTCCTTTTGAATTTCATTCTTATAAAAATATTTAACATGAGACCTACTCTTTTAACAGATTTTAAGTGTACAATATACTATTGTTATTTATTGGTAAAATGAACAGATCTCTAGAAATGTTTATTCTGCATAACTGAAATTATATTCTTGTTGATTAGCACACTCAGATCATGGCCAAAACAATTTTATTGTTTGCTTGTTTTAATTTGACAATTTTAGATGCCTCATTTAAACAGAATCATGCCTTTGTCCTTCTGTGACTGACTTAGGTATGGTGTCCTTAAGGGTCATCTATGTTGTCCTAAATTAGAAGATTCTCTTCCATTTTTGCAGATGACTAACATCTCAGTCTATTTATATCACTGTTCTTTTTTGTTTTTGAAGATTTGATTTATTTGAGAGGTAGAGTTACTGACAATGAGAGGAAGAGACAGAGAGAAAGGTCTTCCATCTGCTGATTCACTCCCCAAATGGCCACAACGTGGAAGTTGAGCCAATCCAAAGCCAAAAGCCTTCTCCAGGTCTCCCACGTGGGAGAAGGGGCCCATGCATTGGGCCATCTTCTACTGCTTTCCCAGGCTATAGCAGAGAGCTGGATCAGAAGAGGAGCAGCTGTAACTAGAACTGGCATCCATATAGGATGCCAGTGCTGCAGGCAGAGGATTAACCTCTGCCACAATGCTGGCCCCTATATCACTGTACTTAGATCCGTTCCTTCACTGATGGATGTTCCCACATAAAAGAGCATAAAGATTTCCTTTTTTAAATCCTTGCAAATACTTTTTATCTTTTGTCTGTTTGATAATAGCCTGTGCAATTGGACTAAAGTAATAACTATGTTGTTTAGATTTCCATTTCCTTTATGATCAATCCATCTAAGCATTTTTTCATATACCTGTTAACCATTTGTATATCTTCTACTTGAAATATATCTATTCAGGCATTTTACCCATTTCTACATCAGAACATTTTTTCTGCTATTGTTGGCTGATTTCCTTACAATTTCTGAATATTAAAGCTTTCTCAGGTTATTATTTGCAATTATTTTATCCCATTCTATAGATTGTCTGTTTACTCCATTTTTCCTTTACAGCACAGAAGTCTTCTAGTTTGATGTAATACAATTGTTTTTAGCTTTTGTTTCTTATGCTTTTGAACCTTACCCAGAATTTTCTTAACCAGAATAATTGTATGGAGCACTTCCCTATGTTATTTATAGGAATTTCCTAGTTTCTAGTATTGCACTGTAATTTATTTGGCTTGACTTTTGTATTTGGTGAGAAATGGAGGGAGGATTTTGTTCTTTCCTTGTTCTCTGTGTTAATATCTGATTTTCCCAGAACCATTTATTGGTGATAACAATCATTTTCCTGAATGTATATTCCTGGTAGCACTTTGGAAAATATTGGCTATTTACATAAATTTATTTCTAGGATCTCCATAATTTTCCATTGGTCAATGTGTCTATTTTTATGTCAGTACCATGATTATTACTGTATTAAATGATTTTTAACAAGAGTAGCAAGAATAGACATTTGCAAAAGGGCTATCTTTTTAATAAATTGTGCTTATAGTATCTAATGCATAAACAGAAAAGAAATAAAGTGGACCCCTTATTTTGTGCTATGACAAAACTCATCCACTGATATCTTTTTTCCTACCTTCAAAAATGTTTCAAGATGGTAGTGGTATCCTGGAGAATTTTCACCTCACAATTCCCACAATTAAGATAGTATCCTCTGTAGGAATAAACTTGTGTATTTAGTCTTTGTTTTGTCCAGGTTTCCCATTTTTTCTGGTAGAATATGGCAACTGAATTCAGTATGGAAAAGAAAATTAAAATACACCAAAGGGCAAACAATTCTTTTTTAACTTGTCAACTAAAAATGGTGTCATATTCTTTGAGGGTTGATAGATGGTGTTTAGGATCTATGTGCAGAAAGCAAGAGTAATAATTGGACACTAATACTTGTTCTCTGAGTCACTTGGAACACGTTTTTCAACTTTATACTTCTGTTTTCCTTTCATAACACTATAATAAAATCATAAAATATAAATAATATAAAATACACACATATAGCATGTGATTAACTCTCAACATACATTAAATTTTAATCAGGGTGATTGTAAAATGAAGAGTTAAGTGTCCAAATTAATTAAATAAAAATTCATGCTTGCTGGCTTCCTGCTTTTTGGACAACTCCAATAGGTCTATTTCTTTCCCTTTATGGCACAAATTTATCTCTTGGCATAATTGCAAGTAGTTTAAAATAAAGTAGAAGGGCTGGTGCTGTGGCATAGAAGGTAAAGCTGTACCCCATATGGATGCCAGTTCAAGTTCTGGCTGCTCCACCTCTGATCCAGCTCCCTGCTGTGGCCTGGGAGGGCAGTAGAAGATGGCTCAAGTCCTCAGGCCCTTGCACTCACATGGGAGACCTGGAAGAATCTCTGGTTCCTGGCATCAGATCAGCACAGCTCTGGCCATTGGGTCCAGTTGGGGAGTAAACCAACAGATGGAAGACCTTTCTCTCTCCCTCCCCCCACCTCTCCTTCTCTCTCTGTGTAACTGACTTTCCAATAAATAAATAAATCTTTAAAAATAAAATAAAATAAAGTAGAAAAATCCCTGGAAATAGATATATTGTCTTTGTGGATTTTGGGGTCCATATATTTTGTTCAGAATCTATTATGAAATAAATTGAAAAGAGTAGTCTCTGACCTCTATTTCTTCAAGTTGTCATTCAGCCTATTATCCATTTTCCAAAATAGAATTATACCTTACAGACAGGTTCTGTGAAATTTGGGTATTTTAGAGATGAAGTCATATGTCCTAATAAACTGTAAGATGAACTGTGAAGACTAAAGGCAAGGGGTGTCTCTGATTTCTCATGGTATTCCTAATACATGTGTTCCTCTCTTTGAAAAAGTAAATCAAGCACGAGTTGGCCACCAGGTGTGTGCTTACCCTAAAATGAAAGTTTCAAGAATCCACCAGCTTTTTCTTTAGGTAAACATCGC